CATTTGGCTATCGTTAATGAGATCATGAAACAAATGCACATACATATTTGTGACATGATGTACCTTGTGTGTGTGAAGTTTGAACTCGATCAATCCAAGCATGTCTCAGATACGGATCCAGAACTGAATTCTTTAAAACAAAATGGCCGCCAGTCGGCCATTTCGAACCCAATCCCCCCAAAAAAATGACGTGCATCAAGGTCCTATTATGTTTAATGTATGTACCAAATTTGAATGAAATCCGTCCATGCATAACTGAGATCCGGGTCCGGAATGGTGAAAATGTGCGATTTCAATGCATTTTCGGCCTTAAAGCGGCCGCCATTTGGCTATCGTTAATGAGATCATGAAACAAATGCACATACATATTTGTGACATGATGTACCTTGTGTGTGTGAAGTTTGAACTCGATCAATCCAAGCATGTCTCAGATACGGATCCAGAACTGAATTCTTTAAAACAAAATGGCCGCCAGTCGGCCATTTCGAACCCGATCCAAAAAAAAAATGACGTGCATCAAGGTCCTATTATGTTTAATGTATGTACCAAATTTGAACAAAATCCATCCATGCATAACTGAGATCCGGGTCCGGAATGGTGAAAATGTGCGATTTTGATGCATTTTCGGCCTTAAAATGGCCGCTATTCGGCTATCGTTAATCGGATCATGAAAAAAATGCATGTGCATATGTCCCATATAAGGTGTGATGTATGAGTGAAGTTTGAACTTAATCGGTCCATGCATGTTCGAGATACAGGTGATCACGGACGCACGGACGCACACAGGGCAAAACATAAGTCCCCGTTTTCGGACTGCGTCCGAACGGGGACTAAAAACAAGATGGCTGCCAGTCGGCCATTTTGAATCGAATCGCTAAACCACTGCATGTGCATATGTCCCACATAAAGTACTAGGCACATGCAAAGAATGAACGGAATCGGTCCAAGGGACTCTGAGATATGACTCCGGACGGAAGCACGGACACACGGACGGACGGAGACCGAATTATAAGTCCCCGTTTTCGGACTTCGTCCGAACAGGGACTAATAAATAGTACGCCACAAAAAGGGGGAAAAAAAGGGTTTTGCTTCTTGTCATTGTGTGCATCAATTTGAAACTTGTGTCTCAGATTTGTTTTTCAATTTTGCGTAACGGCAAAGTGTGTCACTTACACTACAATGGTAAACTGTTTTCTGTTTCAGAGGATGCACTGTTGATCCAAATCAACCTTCAATGCACATATACGAAAGCATAATTTAATAAATGTTACATGTGAACATATATATAAACTTTCAGCTGAGATAGCTCCACTGTTAGCAATGCACATTTCAATTAGAGAATTGAAGGATATCAATAGAAAATGAACAAATCTGAGAGAGGTTCACCTGAGGTACCTACAAGTGTAATATCAAAGCAATCAGACTTGTGGTTTTCAACAAGAAGTTGAAAAAATAATTTTTTTACCAAAAATATTCACCAAAATTAGAGAATTAAAGATATCAACATGAAATAAACTAATTAAGTGAGGTACATATGCACCAAGTATGAAGGCAATCAGATTTGTAGTTTTCAAGAAGTCAAAAAAGTAAAAAGTTGACACAGACGACACTGGACAATCACTCATATGATAAGCCTGCTCGACAAAGTTGCTCATACGATACACAATCAACAACATAGCTAAAAATTTAAATCATTTCACCAAATCATTTTTTTACATTTTCCCCAGTACGAAAAGCAAAATCTTTTTTTGGGGCCTAAAAATCTATATCTCAGCATTAAGACTCAAGCACTAGAGTTGTATTATCTCACCTGTATAAGGTCTTTGAGATCAATCACCAGAACTACTTTCCTTTCATTTATTTTCTGAATCTTTTGATTTGTTTTCATCTCTTCATGTTCAATATTGAGCGCCTCGCGTTCATTCCTGGCTATGCTGTAAAAAGAAAAAGCATTGATGTCAACACTGAGTGTCACCGCTGTCTATCTTTTCTGTTTTTCGAAGTGAATTTCAAATGCACAATATACATACAGTGTATTTTAACCATATTTTACGTACATGACAGAGCTGTATGATCAAAATGTCATAAAACAATTTAATGCAATAATTTGCCATCAAAAGAACCTGATCTAACATAATCTCCTGCATACCAACCAGAGTTCCTGAAAAAAAGATGTTTGTGAATAAACCACACTGAACCTGTGACATACTCACCAAGGGGAGGGGCATTCGATCATGAGCCCAGAGAAACAACCACTATGCTTGCACTACTGGTCAAGTTTTACAAATTTTGGATCAAATCCATACAGGAATATGTATTCAATCCTGTTGCATAAATGCCAAGAGTTGATGAAACCTTTTGTAGTTTCCGCTTTTAAAGCTTACCTGTCTTTTTTTGCCTGTATATTTTGAAGCACAGTCTGCCTTCTATTTCTCCTGTTTTGCAACTGCTTCTTTTTCTCTCGCAGTGAGTTATCTTGCTCAGCAAGTTCTTGTCTCATCTTGGCTAACTCTTTGTATCTCTCTTCTCCATCATGAAGCCTGGTTTCAGCTTCCTGGTAAAAACAAAAGAATGTATATGTTAGATGTCAGAGGGCAGTATACTGATATCAACCAAATACTGAAAACAATTCCAGAGGAAAAAAGATTAACTTACTCTCAGTTGTTGTTCTAGTTCTCTTTTCTGGGTTGGATCAATGCTAACATATAACAGTTGGGCGTTATTGATACGACTACTACTACTAGACGTGGCTTTATTTCCATATCGGCTTTGACGAATAATGTACATATAATCAGCTGTGTAGAAACGTCTCAGGCCAGACGATGCAATAACCTAACAAGCAATAAAGGACAATGCAATGCGTTATCTCGTTCAGCAGTTAATATAGTTACATATACGTATTAGAAAAACAAACCAGCTTTGACCTGACACTGATAATGTAGCAAAATAAATTTTGAGCCAAAAAATAACACAAAATTGCAAATTCTTGCAAATCAGAGGGTAGAATTCATCTGGCGAACAAATAATACACTTGTTTTTGTCAATTAACTAGAAAACTTCAGTGTGTAAAACAATCTTTTCTATCATTGCAAAAAAGATGGTCACATTAAACTTTTACATACAGGTATCTTCACATGTAAATTACAGTAAGACTGCCCAAAAGAATATAAAATTGATCACTACCACAAATTTGTATTAATTGATATTGAATTTCCTTACATCAGCTATATGCTCTTGTGTGTAAGGAGTGCCTATCGGTACTTCATGTACTCTATGCTGTTTACACAGGTAAGCCATCACAGCCTCAGGTGCTTCAAACAAATCTTTCAAGTAAGTAGTGAAACCCCATCGCCTTTAAGACAAGAAAAAAAATTATCAGTATGAATTTGTAATTATATTGTGAAAGCTCAGTTCAATCAAGGATCTGAATATCTATAGGAAATAAGGAACCCTCCCTCATCTGCCCAAAATAACAGTCCTAGTTATTCTTAAATTCATTTACAGTAACAACATTCACCATCCAATTAGGCAACTTGTTCCACGTGTTCACCGTGTGTGATTTAAATGAATATTTTCATACATTGAGATGACAAGCAAATTAAGCGTATAAGCTTTTATCAATTGCAGAGTAAGAATGTTATGTAAGCAATGACATATCACTATAAAACCTAAAGTTTATTGTCCTACAATCATACACAAAAGAAACTTAGTACATTACTGCCATCGAGAGCAATTTAATCAGCAGAGCTGAACATTGTGGATTAAGTACGATGATCAGTAAATGTTTGTATACATACTGTCTTAAGGTAGCGGAATAGTTTTTTGGGCACTTTTCACATTTTTTTTTGAAAATCACAAGCATAGCTCCATAAGGCATGCCACATACATTAGTGTATTTATTTTATTGAAAAAAATAATATCTTGTACAAATAAACTGGTTTTTTCCTTGTGTGCAAACAAATACCCAAGTTTTTTGTTTATCCAGTGTACACCCCATGAGTGCTTCTCATTAATATTCATGGTTAACAAACATAACTGAACTGGGGCTAAGCTATTTACAAACAACTGATAAGATATCTGTTTGTAGTTTACACACAGCTGATAAGATGTGTGCACTGCTTCGTTTCAAGAGGAGGAAGCTGTACAGCAAAAACAAAAACAAAAAACACTTTCGAAACACAACAAATTTTGTATAAACAAAATAGTACATGAGTGTATCACATGTTACCGAATTTTGCCATAAATTCGCCCGGGCCGTTTAACGGCAGTTTGGTATTTTTTAAGATTTTTTTAAAATATTTTGGG